TTTTTTTTTTTTTTGGTAGCTGTTTGTTATTGTGGCTTATTTTGTTATTGGATTTGTTAAATCAGATTTTGTCCTCTAAAATGACTCATTCTATATGACAATTTTCTTTTTGTTTAACAACTCATGAGAAATAATTTTGAAGCCACTAATAGTTGGTTCAGTCTCTTATGAGCCATTACCAATGGCAATATATATAAATTTGCCATAAATTGTCTTGAAGACTCCAACTGTTAATTTGTTCCCCTTGTTGGTAACATAGAAATTTAAGTACACACCGTTTTGATTTTTCTCCATTCTTTCATACTCGTTTTGTAACAGTTCTTGTTACTGTTTGTGATATCATTTTGTTCCATTTGATATTGGGTTCTCTTTCAGGGGGAAGGATCTTATATACTTCGTTTATTCTTTTTAAAAAAATGCTTGCACTTTACTTTCACCAGTTATGGAATCAAATCCCAGCAGATAGCAAGGACCACAGTACTTAATATGGTTTTAAAAAATAGTTTGCACCCTGGTTTCTCCTGCCATAGAACCCAAGGCAACTTAGAAAAATAAATCTTAGCTAAAAGGTTATATTACAAAAGAGAAAGCCCATCACCAACCGTCTTAACGTTCGGGCTGTCTCTACTTGCTATGGATGTCATAGCACATAGCACTGATGCTCCTCTTTTGTTATCTCTCCACTGCCTTTTTGCAGGTAGCAGCATGGATGAATATAAAGGCTTGACAGATAATGAACTTATTACCCGTTTGAAGAAGTACAATATCTCACATGGACCTCTTGTCGGTATGTATGGCAGTAAACGGTTCTGGCCCAACTTACCTGTATGAACCTATCTCCCCTTATGAACCATCGAGAACTTCAAGATCGTCTGGGGAGGCCCTGCTCTCGGTCCCGCCTTTGTCACAAGTACATTTGGTGGGGACGAGAGACAGGGCCTTCTCAGTGGTGGCCCCATGGCTATGGAACACTCTGCCTAGGGAGATCAGATCTGCTCCCTCACTCTTAATGTTTCATAGGCAAGTAAAACATGGCTGTTCAAGCAAGCATTCACAAATGCAGAGTAGCTAATACAGGAAATCGAATGACTTGACAATGGAATTGGACAAAGCTTGATAATAAGGAGACGCTAATGATGTTGTTTTTATTGCTGTTGTGGCTCATCTGTTGGGAGTGCTTTGATTGTGTATTCCTGTATGGCAAAAGTGGATCAGACTGGATGGCCCTGGGGAGATCTTCTAACTATGGTTCTCAGACTCTAGGTCTTGTTGGTGCTGAATGAGGCCTGCTTTCTCTAAAGGATCAGATAATCTTGGCACAGGGCTGGTAGAAATGTTTGCAAGGTGATGTGGCTTTGGGAAAGGAAGCATCCCTTTGATGTGAGTGTATCTGGAATTGTCAAGGGAGGAGCCCGATATTTGGCAGAAGATTTGGCAGAAGAAAAAAATGACTTTAAGGGAAGATTTTGAAACCCTATCAGGGAGATTGAGCCTGGGTGTCAAAGGGAGAAGGTGTTAGGAGTTTGGAGTGGTGAAGAAGGTTAGGAAGAGGCCTGAAATTGGTCTGTTGGCTAGCAGAGTTAGCTAGTGAAAGAAATTCTACGACAATTAGGGAAATAGCTGGTGGAGGAGTGGAGAGATAGATCCAGGATAGGACTATCTGTGCTGGTGTTTTGAATTACTGTCAGCGAAACAATCCTGTCAGTATTTCTCTGGAGGGAGAGAGAAGTGTTTCATGTGTAATTAAGTCTGAACTGTTTAAAGTAAACACACTCTTTTTAAGTCAGTATTTTGAAACAGTTAAGCTTTATACCTGAATTGGTCCTGTTCTCTTAAATAAACATCATTGTTTTGTTGTTCACCACAACTGCCTCATGTGTGCCTCTGTGGGTGAAGTTTTAAGAGCAGTTTCCTGCAGCAAACAGGAGACTAATAGTGGCAGCGTAGATTTTAAAGAACAATCTTTAGTGTTAACTCAGAAACACAAGCTTGAGGACTAAATCCAACACACTCTTGCCTAAGAATACTTCCAGTAAGCCAAGGGCTTATCAGTGCTTCTAAGTTGGTGGGTGCCAGAGGGCTTTCAAAAAGGGTTTTTCGGCCAGAAGAAAGTTCCAGCTTTCTTTACAGCTTTTTGATTTTGGGCTTGTAAACACAGAAGCCACATTCAATCTAAGTGGTGTTCCGCTTTTGGAATTTATTTTCAAATAAAGCCTCTATCTTGTTATAATGTACAAAGGTGAGAATGCTAGGAATTACAGCCCAACAGTATCTTGGGGGTTACATGGTTCTCACTTCAGCTGCAGACTTTTGTCAGTTTGGTTTAAATCTCCAATTGGGATTCCTTCTTTTAGGATCAACTCGGAAACTTTATGAAAAGAAAGTCTACGAATACGAGAAAGAACGAAAACCACTCTCTTCATACCGAGGGTCAGGATCCTACACAGGTGAGAAGAACTGGACAGAAATGGTAACAGCTTCTGTGTAAGGCACTAACACTCTCCCCTCCCTTTGCCTTTTGCCCATGCAGAGCCAAGTAGCAGCAGCGAAAGCTACGTACGAGAGACTTATGTGAGTCCACGGAGCAGGGAAACCCTCAGCTACGGACGAGAAGGTAGGGCAGTTTTCTCTAGAGAGAATTCCTACATTAAAAATCACCAGGGCAAAGGAAATAAGTACATTCAGGAGATATTGGGGAGGGGGAGAAGGAGGGCAACAGAAGAATATGTCAAAGGGAAGGAGTGTGTGTGTGTGTATGAGTAAATAATACATATGGTTGACTTGTGATGATCATTGCATCATCTGCAAAAAGATTAATTCTTATTTCTTTCTTTTCTATTCCTTCCTTCTCTATTTTATAACCTGTCCAGTTAGGGCTGTCTCTGATACTATTAGCTAATATTAAGATGCGGAGTGGAAAAATTAAGACGGATATTTCAAATATTATTTATGTAGTTTATTTCTGTGGTTTTTATTGCTTGTGTTGTGGTTTTATATTGTTTTTCATGTTTTAATTTGTATTATGATGTTATGTGTACTAATTTGTTGTAACCTGCCTTGAGTCGCCGACAGGCTGAGAAAGGCAGTATACAAATACAGTAAATAATAGTTTATTTTAGTTTTATTTTTTTACTCTGATTTTTTATTGTTTTATTGGGGGTTTTTTTCATTCCCACCCTCCCCTCCTTATATATTCAATTTATACATCAAACTACAGAAGTTACATTTGAAATATCAGTCTCAGTCTTAATTTTTCTACTCCACATCTTAGCACATTTTCTAAATAATTCCTAACTGGTTCCCACATCCTCTTAGTTATTGTGACCTTTTCAATTTTATCTATATTATTCCATTTACAGTTTGTTATTTCCACATTTAACATACTAATTATATAGTTATACCAGTTAGTCAGTGTCCATTTTGTTTTATCCTTCCAACACCTCACTAAAACAATTTGTGCACATGCTATTAATTTGTCAACCAATTTTTCCTTTTGTATATTCTTCGCTCCTGTTATCCGTTCATGTAGTACATTTCTATTAACCATTACTATTTGTAAAATATAAATAGTTTATTGTACAAACTGTATGTCCAAGAGAAGGGCAAAGGGTGGGAGAGGGGTAAAGAAATAAAATAAAATAAAAAAGTGAAAATAATACATATTATTAACTGCAAATGGCTCTTGGTAAATGATAGATAACATCTAATGCCAAGCAAAATGTTTCTTAATTTTTCCTTCTCTTCCTTTTTTATTTTTTATTATTATTATTTTATTTTATTTTTAATATATTATTATTATTATTATTATTAATAAATAAATAAATAAATAAATATTCCTTCTCTTCCCAGCTCTTGGCTCTGGAAGGATTTATGTCAGTGAAAACTATGACTCTCCAAGAACTGAATATTACTCTGAGTATAGAAGTGAAGGTGGGTGTTTGACAGAAGGCAGGTGGGTTGTGTTAGACAAAGGGCCATGAAGGAGGAGACATTACTTATTTTGGCAGAAGCCATCTTCGAGTTTTCTTGTTGTATCGCATGTCAGACTTATCATCTCATCTTGAAATAAACTAAATGGCCTACATTTTCTCACTTTGCTTCAACACGGTATTTTTACAATCTTTCTGAATCTAGACTGCCCAGTTCTGAAAACTTGTACATTTAGTTGCATTTAATGTACCCATAAAGTTTATGAAATTGAACTTTGAAGCTATGGAAGACAAGGGTTGAAACCTAAGTGATCAAGAATATCCAATGGATGACTTTGAGTTTGCTGCCGCCCTGGAGATTAGGACGCGGAGCAATGGCCTCAAACTACAAGAAAGGAGATTTCATCTGAACATGAGGAAGAACTTCCTGACTGTGAGAGCCGTTCAGCAGTGGAACTCTCTGCCCCGGAGTGTGGTGGAGGCTCCTTCTTTGGAAGCTTTTAAACAGATATCTCAATCAGGTCTTTTCGGGCTATATGGCCATGTTCTAGAGGCATTCTCCTGACGTTTTGCCTGCATCTATGGCAAGCATCCTCAGAGGTAGTGAGGTCTGTTGGAACTAGGAAAATGGGTTTATATATCTGTGGAATGACCAGGGTGGGACAAAGGACTCTTGTCTGCTGGAGCTAGGTGGGAATGTTTCAACTGACCACCTTGATTAGCATTTGATGGCCTGGCAGTGCCTAGAGCAATCTTTTGTTGAGAGGTGATTAGATGTCCCTGATTGTTTCCTCTCTGTTGTTTTGCTGTTGTAATTTTAGAGTTTTTTTAAATACTGGTAGCCAGATTTTGTTCATTTTCATGATTTCCCCCTTTCTGTTGAAATTGTCCACAAGCTTATGGATTTTAATGGCATGCAGTCTGACATGGTGGTTGTTGGAGTGGTCCAGCATTTCTGTGTTCTCAAATAATATGCTGTGTCCAGGTTGGTTCATCAGGTGCTCTGCTATGGCTGACTTCTCTGGTTGAAGTAGTCTGCAGTGCCTTTCATGTTCCTGGATTCGTGTTTGGGCAATGCTGCGTTTGGTGGTCCCTATGTAGACTTGTCCACAGCTGCATGGTACACGGTAGACTCCTGCAGAGGTGAGAGGATCCCTCTTGTCCTTTGCTGAACGTAGCATTTGTTGGATTTTCTTGGTGGGTCTGTAGATAGTTTGTATGTTGTGCCATCTGTCAGGGGTGCTTTGAAAGCAATTTTCCTGCTTCTTGGTAGGGGGTTGGACTGGATGGCCCATGAGGTCTCTTCCAACTCTAGGATTCTATGATTCTAGGTGTTTTGGACTTAAGCTCCCACAATTCCTAACAGATGCTAAGCTTGGTAGGATTTCTGGGAGTTGAAGTCTAAAATACCAGAAGGCCCAGAGGTTGGAAATCACTGGTATAGAGTCTTTTTGGAGACACTGCTGGTCTATACACCTTCCCTAAACAGAGTCAATAACTACACCTTAATTTATTTTAAAAATATGGAATCTGAAAAGGTCCAATGTAGTTTGTTGTGTGCCTTCAAGATTTTTTTCCTGACTTATGGAGAATCTGAGGCAAATCTCTCACAGGGTTTTCTAGGAAAAACTTGTTCAAATGTAGTTTGCCATTGTTTCCTCTGATTCTGAAAGAGTGTCATTTGCCTAAGTTGAGTTTTTTATAGCCGAATAGCAATATGGTGGCGCAGTGGGCTAAAGCACTGAGCTGCTGAGCTTGTTGATCGAAAGGTCGCAGGTTAGATTCCGGGGAGCGGCGTAAGCTTCCGCTGTGAGCCCTAGTTTCTGCCAACCTAGCAGTTCGAAAACATGCAAATGTGTGTAGATCAAAAGGTACCGCTCCGACGGGAAGGTAACGGCGCTCCATGCAGTCATGCCGGCCACATGACCTTGGAGGTGTCTATGGACAACGCTGGCTCTTCGGCTTAGAAATGGAGATGAGCACCACACCCCAGAGTCAGACATGACTGGACTTAATGTCAGGGGAAAACCTTTACCAACCTAGCAATATGAAAGCCGGTCTCCAGAGTCATAGTTCAATGCTCAACTCACTGTATATCATAGTGACTTTCCTACCTTTCAGTAATATGATATACCGCTTCCCCCTTTTTGTTTTTATAGATTCCAGTCCCAGCAAGTCCTACCTGAGTCGTAATTATGGTTTGTCCCATAATGAAGAACAGTCCAGCTATACTCCAAAAGGTAGAACAGAATGGAATTGAAATTATAAGATGGTAAAAAATTGGGTTCTCATAGCAACAGAGTTGTCTTAGTGCAGTTAACTCTGGGTGGTCTGAAGATAGACTATGCTCATCTAATAAATCTTCCTGTGATTTGCAATAAATAGGAAATAATTGCTGACATCTTGTCCCTGAATTGCTTAACTCCTGCAACAACAAAATGTTTCTCTCCTGCCCTGAATCTTTTTTTATATAGTATTTTTATTGAAGAACTAGCCATCCCCTGCCACACGTTGCTCTGGCCCAGTCTGGTGATCTGGAAAATAAAGTAATGAGAAACTGTTGGTTTCTAATATATGTAGTTTTCTTTTATGGTTGTATGTAAACAGTATTTGATTAAGTTTTCTTGCCCTGGTGAAAGGGGTTGGACTGGATGGCCTTAAGTATTTTCTATTGGTCACAGGGGTTCAGTGTGGGAAGTTTGCCCCAATTCTGTCATTGATGTGGTTCAGAATGCTCTGTGATTGTAGGTGAACTATAAATCCCAGTAACTATAACTCCCAAATGTCAAGGTCTATTTTCCCCAAACTCCATCTGTGTTCATATTTGGGCATATGGAGTATTTGTGCCAAGGTTGGTCTAGATCCATCATTGTTTGAGTCCACAGTCCTCTCTGGATGTAGGAGAACTACAACTCCAAAACTCAAGGTCAGTGCCCACCAAAACCTCCTAGTGTTTTCTGTCAGTCATGTGAGTCCTGTGTGCCACGTTTGGTTCAAGGAGAAGGATTGGAGAAGGATTAAAACCAAAATAAAATGAGAGAAATTACAGATTTTATTTCCCCGTCCTCATCGGTTCTTTTTTTATAAATGTCTCCCAGTTAATAATAATAATAATAATAATAATAATAATAATAATAATAATAATAATGTTCTTTTGTGGGATTAACAGAACTCAAAAACCACTGGACGAATTGACACCAAATTTGGACACAAGGCACCTAACAACCCAATGTATGTCCTTCACTCAAAAAAATAATTTTGTCATTTGGGAGTTGTAGTTGCTGGGATTTATAGTTCACCTACAATCAAAGAGCATTCTGAACCCCACCAACGATGGAATTGAACCAAACTTGGCACACAGTTCTCCCATGACCAACAGAAAATACTGGAAGGGTTTGGTGGGCAGTGCCCTTTGGTTTTTTTGAATTGTAGTTCACCTACATCCAGAGATCACTGTGGACTCAAACAATGATGGATCTGGACCAAACTTGTCAAGGATACTCAGAATGCTCAAATGTGAACACTGGTGGAGTTTGGGGAGAATAGAATCTTGACATTTGGGAGATATAGTTGCTGAGATTTATAGTTCACCTTCAATCATAGAGCATTCTGAACCCCCACCAACGAAAGAATTGGGCCAAACCTCCCACACAGAACCCCCATGTGGGCCACAGCAACGTGTGGCAGGGGACGGCTACCTCTTGCAAATTTTAAGACTGCATGTTTACCTGCCGAAGCTCTAAATTAGTTACAGCCACAACCAGCTGCACATCACGCTCTGCTTGCTGTGAGCTAAATGCTCGACTATTAGTATCCTGTTTGTATTTTGGATGCTCTGCTATATGTTTTTGGATAGTTTCCCATAACACTGGTGATTCATTCTCTTTTCCCCCGTCCTTCCCCCTTTCTTGTTTCAGACTGGGACATCAATTCTTCAGAGACTTCAACAACTTTCTACCGCCAGTCTGCATCATCATTAAGCAGTGATGTACTTCCAGGGTCAGTGAGTGCCCGCCAACCGGTAAGTTGCCTTCCATTGTCTATGGAGAGAATAAGGAAGCTACCAATATTGAGAAAAGGTCCTTATGCTGACAAGCCCCTCTGTTTTGTTTTGTTTTTCAGATTGCAGAGCCATATCCGTACAGTTCCAGTCGGAATGATGTGTCAACTGAGAGGTAATTAGGGATTGGGGAAAGTAGTTGGCTTTTTGACCTCTGTTGCCCAGACATCTTGGACAAGTTTTACACTAAGTGGTAGAAATTGAGTGGCCCTCCAAATGTTGAGATCCTCACTATTGATGGTGTTAGCTAAGGCCCCTTCCACACAGCTGAATAAAATCCCACATTTTCTGATTTGAACTGGAATATAGGGCAATGTAGACTCAGATATCCCAGTTCAAAACAGATATTGTGGGGTTTTCTGCCTTGATATTCTGGGTTATATGGCTGTGTGGAAGAGCTCTTTGGCTGCTATGGGTTACAATTCAGCAATGTCTGGAGGACTTCATAGTTCCCACTATTGCTGAATGGTAGGGTGTTGAGTTAGATCATTGGTTCCTAACCTGTGGTCTGTTGATGACCAGTGGTCCCCAAGAACTAAAATATGGTCCGCGGCCTCACTGTACTACACTGTTGCAACAAGAGCGACTGGTCTCGCAAAACCCTCTTATAGTGCCAAGGCTTATTACATACTAGCTGTACTCGCCACGCATTGCTGTGGCCAACCTTCCCTCCCTCTTTCTCTCCTTCTTTCCCTCCTTCCCTTTTCTTCTTTCCTTCTCTCCTTCCTTCCTTCTCTACCTCTTTCTTTCCTCCCTTTTTCTTTTCCTTCCCTTTCTCTTTCTCCCTTCTCTGCCTCTTTTCTTCCTTTGCTTTTTGCTTCCATCCTTCCTTTTGTCTTTCCTTCTCCCCCTCTTTCTCTTTCTTCCTCTTCTTCCTTCGCTCCCTCTTTCTTTGCTTTGCTTTTTTCTTTCCTTCTCTCTTTCCTTCTTTCTCTACCCATTTCTTTCCATCTCTCTTCTTTTCCTCTTTCTCTCCTTTCTTCCTTTTCTACCTCTTTCCTTCGCTGCTTCCTTCTCTCTTTTCTTCACTCCTTCCTTCTTTCTTTTCCCCTTCCTTCCCTCCCTCTTCCTTCCCCTTTTTCTGTATGTCATTTACCTTTTCGTCATTTATCTTTTGGGGAGTTTTAAGTCCTTTCCACTGTTTTTTTTTTTTTTTTTTCCTTTTTTTTCCTTTCCTTTATCTTTTAAAGCACTGGCAGTTCCAATTGGGGGGGGGGGGGTTAATGAGTGATGGTCACTCGTTGGTCTATTAGGGGTGTAGTGTCCAAATTTGTTGTCAATTCACCCAGTAGTTTTTGAGTTCCACATCAGCTCTAGATTATTAAATATGGATTTCTGTAGGTGAGCAGATGGTGACTACTGGGTGGCATATGTTCTGTATCAGAAACTAGAGCTGATGTGGTCTATCCAATGCAATTTTCTGAATCAATACCCCAAATAACCAAAACGAATCTAAAGTTGGGTTGTTGTAGGATATGGCCATATTCTAGAGCAGTGGTCCTCAACCTGTGATTTCTGGGAGTTGTAGGCCAAAACACCTGGGGACCCACAGGTTGAGAACCACTGTCCTAGTGGCATTCTCTCCTGATGTTTCGCCTGCATCTATGGCAAGCATCCTCAGATATAAGCATCTATGGCAAGCATCCTCACTACCTCTGAGGATGCTTGCCATAGATGCAGGCAAAACGTCAGGAGAGAATGCCTCTAGAACAGTGGTTCTCAACCTGTGGGTCCCCAGGTGTTTTGGCCTACAACTCCCAGAAATCCAGCCAGTTTACCAGCTGTTAGGATTTCTGGGAGTTGAAGGCCAAAACATCTGGGGACCCACAGGTTGAGAACCACTGCTCTAGAACATGGTCTTATAGCCCGAAAAAACCTACAACAACCCAGTGATTCCGGCCATGAAAACCTTCGACAATACAAACCTAAAGTTGACCAAAAACTGATTCAAAACCCTTTTGGTACTACTGTTGGAGAGTGGTTCCTAGTCAAGTGGTCCCTGGTCAAAAAAAAATTGGGAACCACTGGGTTAGATTATCCTTGTGACCCCTTCCAGCTTTGTGATTCTATGAAATCAATGCTGTGCTTCTGGTCGCTTCTGGAGCTGTGTGTTGTGTTGTGTACTTTGTGTTTTGTTTTTTTTTAATGCAATACAACTGTTTTGATTCGCTCCTGACATGATAAATAAATAAATAAATGTTGTGCTGAGGAGAGAGAGTTTAAGGAGCTCCACTGGCTGCCGTTTATTTTCAGAGCCCAATTTAAGGTGCAGGTGCTTACCTACAAAGCCCTGAACGGTTTGGGACCACCCTATCTGCGTGACCGTATCGCTGTCTACGAACCCACACGCTCACGCCGGTCATCTGGAGAGGCTCTGCTCGTGATCCCGCCTGCGTCGCAAGCGCACTTGGTGGGAACGCGAGACAGGGCCTTCTCTGTGGTGGCCCCCCGCCTCTGGAATGCCCTCCCGAAAGATCTCAGACAAGCCCTACATTGGCAGTCTTCAGAAAGAATTTGAAAACCTGGCTGTTCCGATGTGCCTTTTCAGATTAGGAACCTCCAGCACCAAATCCTAGAAGCACCTTAGTAGAACCAAGATCACTGCACACTGCACACCGCACTTATATTATAATCCTACATTCCTCCCGCCACATCAGCACTTTTAATCCTGTACCCCTATTCCTGGCCGGCCCAGTTTTAATAGTGTCTTGTTGTATTGTTACTGTTATTGTTTTTTGCTTAACTGTTTTTAATTTGCTTTAGGTATTGTATTGTTGTATTGTGTTTTGGGGCTTCGGCCTGTGTAAGCCGCATCGAATCCCTCGGGAGATGCTAGCGGGGTACAAATAAAGTTATAATAATAATAATAATAATAATAATAATAATAATAATAATAATATAAACAGGGCCCTGGTTGGGTGAGAGAGAAGGTGGTCACAATACTTGGAATGATCTTTCTGCGTTGGTATTTCTTTCAGGGACAGCAGTTCCTACCAGAGCGTCTTCCATCGGAAATCATCTGGCCTGTCCTCTCTGGGGGTAGAGCCACGTCGTGCCATTCGCCCTGAGCTCCAGGCCCAAACATCAGCAGCCAAGGCTTCGGATAGAAGTGCAGGCACCAAGCGCTACATACCCCTCTGGCTCCAGTTCCTGGTCTTTATTTTGCTGGCTGGCTTCTTGGCCTTTGTCTACTTCTACCTGCAAGATGGTGCTAATGACAACCCATTTGCGAATTATTTTAAGCAGTGAATCCCTGGAGCCTCAGGCATGTTGTATGTTCCAAAGAGCCTGGAATGTTTTCCACTGAAATGCCTTCCTCCTTCCTTTCTTAAACCCCAAAGTGAAGTGGTGTATTGGGGCCAGAGGTGCGTGAGGGCTTCTCACTAACATCTCTGAATTATGGCAGCTCCCCACCCTTCTCCCCATCCCTTAAATCAGCTATCGTGGGGCATTTTTCATCTTATATTTTTGTAGCTTTGGCTTTATAATCAGGGTGTGGGTTGGCAGAACGGGTGGGATCCTTTCCCTCCAAACACATCAAGA